CAAAATCCCAATTATCTTTATAAATAACAAAATTCCTCTCCGCAGAGTTCAATTATTTTCAAATCAAGTTCAAATTCCCAAAAATAGTACGCAAACATTTAATTATTTTCATAAATAATAAAAATTTCTCAGGAATTCAATTATTTACAAATTTTTTATAAATTCCTTCGCAATAATTCAATTATTTTTATAAATAATAAAATTTTTTTTAAGGAAATCAATTATTTTCATAAAAAATAATTAAAATTTGTAGAAAATAATAATTGATATGAAATAATGAAAATAATTTTGAAAAAGTTACTGTAATAATATTCTTATAATATAAAACAATGATTTTATCACTCGGTCATTTTTAATTATTATAAAACATGAAGAAATCCATCACTCCGAGTCTTCGACTCGGAGCAATCGCTATATCTTCATGTTTTATAAAAATATTCTTATAAGTTATTGAATTGCAAAAAGGTTTGATTTTGAAATTTTTGAAAATCTTAATTCCTATGGAAAAATAATAATTAAATATTTATTTAAAAAAGAAGTTATTGATGTTGTCGAATAATTTTACAATTAAAAAAATTCTTAAACAAATGCAACAGAACATTTTTTTGAATAAAATTTTTTCCTTTATTTTCTAAAAATTTAAAAAGTTTCAATTTCATTTTCAATTAAAATTTGTAATTGACAAATAGAATAGAAAATGTAATGTTTCTTTTCCAAAAGAAAAGAATGAATTTCTGAACAATATTGTTATTGAGAAATATAAATAATGCATAAAATGGGTATATTTCCTGTCTCTTAATTATAATTTTTTAACAATTAACAATTTTCTCATATTTTTTATAAATAAAAAAGGAGAAAAATTTGCATAATTTAGATCAGTCCAACGAAATTTGGTATAGAAAAAAGCATATAATAAACAAAATTTATTTGTTAATCATTATTTTTTTATATTTTCTAATTTCAAATATTGTTTTATTATAAATCATTAAAAAATATCTGCATTTTTTCGATCTATCAAACAATATTTTTTTAAGAAAAAAAAACAAAAAAATTACCATACACAGTATTTAGCATTAATTATAGAACACTTTTTTTACACTATAAAAAAAAGGTTCTAAATTAGAGCTGATTTCGGTACTAAAACAGAACCAAATTACGATTTAGTACCACTTTTGGTACTAAATTAGTACCTTTCTTTTTACAGTGATATTATAAAGGGTGTAATATTGTAAATCCGTCTAATGAGTAAATAAAAAAAAATTATTATTATTATTAATTTTTACGATTTTAAAATTATATATACCTCATTGACTATTACGGCTCAATGAACTATTATCTATTACGTTTTCATTAAAGTAACGATTAACGTACACGATTATACTATATATACAGTACAACTAAAATCCAAACAGAATTAACATTTTTCAAATATGATTAATGATTATTAATAATTATGGAAATAATTGACTAATATTTTAAGTCTTTCAAAAGAAAGAAAGCTAGAGAGAAAGAGATAAATTACCCCTTTTGATCGTTAATGTCCATATTTTCCATAGAGAGAGAGAGAATAAAAAAAAATCTTCCAACTTATATCATTTTGATAATATTTACGAAATTAATTTTTTTTCTTCTTATTAAAAAGGAAAGAAAAAAAATGTTAATTAGTTTCTTGGGTAGAGTGAAGGCAATGGTGGATTGCTCTGTGTCCTTCGTCATAGTTCGGGTCGGGATAAGTCGTTAAGCGACATGCATATTCAACTCAATTGCCAACGTTTCAATTTAACCGCAAGCGGTAATTAATGCTTATATTACAGTTAGACAAGAAATGCGATGACGTGCTTTACGCTTAACTTCCCTGCGAGAGCGCGCGACACACAAATCCTTTTCAAAAGATCGCGCGCTGCAAGTAAGTTTCGCATCATTCACCTCTATTTCAATTTGTAATTAATGATCCTTAAAGGAGTCATTATATATCTTCACGTTTAAAATGAGAAAAAATTTCCTCGGAAAATATAAAAATCAAAACACAGGATTTATTTATCTTTTTGTTGGTATATTATTTTGACACAACATTTTTATTTCATTAAAATTGTCCAAAATTTGGAAAATTAAAAAAAGTTCTATAGAAAACTAACTGAAAAAAAATACTCTCGCATATTTAAACTATAATTATTTTTTCGAAGTTTTATTAAAAAATCTAAATTAATTAAATCTAAATTAATTAAAAAAAAAAGACTTTTTCTCTAAAGAACAAGTACAATTTTTTTTTTGCTTTTAAATTAGTAAATTTTACCGATAAATAGAAATTTCTACTAATACGTTAGTAAAATTTACTAATTCAAAAGCAAAAAATTATTAACCCAGGAAAAAGATATATTTGCCTAGAGCCAACTAGATTTTTTATTTGTTTGAAATGAATTTTATTTGTTTGAAATAAATTTTATTTGGTTTAATTCAAATTTTATTTGTTTGAAATAAAAAGTTTATTTATATCAAAAAAAAATTTTATTTAAAAAAACAAATAAATAACTCAGTAGGCTTTGAGAGAAATATACTTTTATTTCACTCAAATAAATTAGATTTGGTTTAATAAAATTTTTTTTTTGCGTGTAAAAACTACTTTAAGAAAAAGAAGCGAGCATTGCTAATGTTTAAAATTTCTTTAATAAATAGTTTTTGTGGAATTTAGTTAAACAGCGACCTTTGTGACTTGCTTTCATATCTTTTTAATGTGCCAAAGTAAAATTATTATAATCTCGTGGCTTTATGATTCCATGAGGACGCGTGTTACATGTATACTTATTTCTTATGTCTGCACGTAAACTGGGAAATACATCATTAAAACCTCATCCCTTCACTAAAAAACTATAATGATCACTATTTGTTTTCTAAATATAGAAGAAAATTAAAAGAATTTAATCAACAAACTAACAACTAATTGATGTAATAACAAATTAATCCAAATAAAAATTCTTAATTTTTTTAAAAATTTCTACATAAAAAAACATAAAAAAAACATTCTTATATGCTATTGAATTTAAAAAGATTTAAATTTAAAATTTTTGAAATTCTTAATTCCTATGGAAAAATAATATTGATTAAATATTTATTTAAAAAAAAAATTCTTCTCTGTAATTCAATTATTTTTGAGAATTATAATAAAATTCCTAGCAAAGATTCAATTATTTTCATAAATAATAAAATTCATAGCAGCGTTTCAATTATTTTTAATACAATTTTACAGGAATTGCTCAAAAAAAGTAATTATTCTTAAAAACTTAAATTCAATTCCTCGAAAAAATAAATTATTATAAAAAATGTTTTTTAAATATTTTTTTGAAGGATTAAATAATTATTTTCCGAAATTTAATAAAATGATTCGAAAGGAATTAATTGTTTTAAATACAATTTTAATTAAATATTTTTGAAAAAATTCAATTATTTTTTTAAATTTTAATTACATGTTTTCTGAAAATTCAATTATTTACACAAATAATTTTTTCGAAAGAATTCAATTATGTCAATAAATAAGAAAATTACTCCCGAAAATATAATTATTTTGAGGTATTTTAATAAAATTCTTTTCAAAATTCAATTATTTTCATAAATAACAATATTCATCACAATAATTCAATTGTTTTTAAAAGTAATAAATTTCTTCTTCCAAATTCCATTATTTTAAAAAAATTGTAATAAATCGTTCGAAAGAATTCAATTATTTTCATAAATAATAAAATTATTTTTAGGAATTCAATTATTTTCATAAATAATAAAATTATTTTTAGGAATTCAATTATATTTTCAAAAAAATTTAATAAAATTTCCCACAGGCATTCAATTATTGGTAAATTTTTTAATAGAATTCTTTGTAAAATTTTATTATCTTCAAAAACTTTTCGCAATTCAATGATTTTCAATATCTACTATTTTCAATAAAATTTCCCAACAGAATTCAATTATTTAAAAAATGGTTTGTAAAAATTTTCCTAAGAATTCAATTCTTTTCATGAATAATACAAATTGTTATCAATTCAATCATTTAAATTAGAATTTGCATAAAATTATTCGAAAGAAATGAATTATTTAAAAATTTTCATAAAATTTTTCGCAAGAATTAAATTATTTTTTATAAATATTTTAAATTCTTTCATGAATAATAGAATTCGTTGCAGGAATTTAATTTATTAGCAGGATAAGAAAAAAGTAAATATTTTTGATGAAAATTAGGAAAAAGTTAGGAAAATAAAAAATATTGATTGGGATTTTTGTCAATTTTGTGAAGTGAATAAAACGAGTTTTTTTTGTTTTTTTTTTGACATTAAAAAAATGATAATAATTCACAAAAATTAATTTTCTTAACAAATTTTATCTCACAATTAGCGACTGGCTTTTTGCTTCAGAATCAGTTGAAAATATCTGATTATCATTGAAAAAATAACTGATTTTCAGTAAAGAATAAATAAAAAATTAGTTAAACTTGACTGATTGAATTAGTTTAAAAAAATTTACTGAAACATCAATTATTTTCTGATAATGAGTTATTTTTAGCTAATTGTCAATAGAAATATTACTATTTAAATTAGTGACTAACTTTTCGTTTCTAAATCAGTTATTTTTAACTGATTCAAATTTAGAGAGTAGAAACTAATTTCAATTAAACAAAATCATTTAAAAATATTTTTATACATCATTTTAGTATATAATGTTTTCTCATTAAATTTAATTATTTTTTTAGTTAATTTTTTATATTTAATTATTTTAATTAATTTTTTGATTCGTCAATTTTTCATATTTAATTATTTTAATTAATTTTTACAATTTTAATTTCTTCTTAATAGCTAATAAATAAGATGAATATTTTCGAGTATTGTTATTCCTTTTTTTTTAGCGAGCGCACATGAAACTTGAAAAAAGAAATCGTCGAGATAATCGTGAGAAGAATCGCGTTTGGATATCGCGTGGGTTGCTTGGGATGAATCGGACTTTTAGCAATAAACGTGATGGAAAATAGAGTCGATCTCGATACAGTGATTGAACTGAGACGCGTGTTTGTCTTTGGTCGAATCCTTCTAAGGGGATGTTACGTGGTACATAGGGAGCTTTGCCTCGCGCACAGTCCTTGGCAATTGACAGAAAGTTAGAAATCCGTTTTCTCGCTCTTTGCCATCCAATAGAAAATCGTGCTATTTAAAAAGGTGAGAGAGATAGATGTGCTGCTTAGATAAATTTATGAATACAATATGTAAAAACAGTGCGCAATGCGACCCGATCTATCGATTTCAATATAATATATATTTAATGACGAACAATATAAAATATTATTCTCTCTCTTTCTCAAAAAAAAAAGAAAATTATTGCGAAAGTTACACAATTGTGTGTGTATAATATCAAGGCAGAAAATCAATCATCCTAAAACATCTCAACTATTTTAGTCATTACTCGCAATTATTTTTTTCGTATCTCTTACATTCTCAAGGACAATAAAAAAAAATGCAATCATAACTCGTAATTTTTTTTAACAATGCGGAATTATTATCAACTAATCAAGGTTAGTTTGCTATAAATAAAATTTTAATTACAAAAAAATTGATTCGATCACTTTTAGGTATTTCTACCCTTTTTCCCTTACTTTTTACATAACTTTAATTGACTTTTAATTTGCAGAAAAACAACGTCAAGTTATGACATTATTACAAAATAAATAAATTAATAAAAAAAAAATATCGATATCTTCCTGTTTATCTCTCTCTAAAAAAATGTAGAATTGCGTATTTAAAAATCCAATTATTAGAGAAAATGACACAATCAATATTTTACATAAGAAAAATTCTACATACTTCACAGACTCGTACTAAAGATTTAATCTTTTAATCTCTAATTGCGAGTTATGTACACGAAATTAGATTTGTCGATTGATCTTGTACTTGATGTCTACAAGGATTTGCTTTTGTTAATGGATTCGCGTCAATTGAAAATTTATACTCAAGATGAAAGAGGTTAATCTGATGGAATCGTTCATGTTTAGGGAGGAGATCGCAATAAGGATCAAGACAAATCAATTATCAATGATTGATTTGTATTTTATAAGATCAAGGATTCTTTTTTTTTCCTTTAAAATTAGGTCAATTCTTTTGTTCATTACAGCTCTTCTAATTTTATACAATTAAATATATATTTATAAAAAAAATCAACTCGCACTAAATACTAAAATCGCGGGTTCTTTACGTCATTATTAAATTCATTTGATAAACAGACGAATTAGATAATTACATCAAGAGTTAGAGCAAAAAATGAAAAAATTCAAGAAATTTAGCCAAAAAAAGTCAATTTTTTGCATATGTTTTGCAATGGAATATAAAAAAAGATTTTACCTAGGCTCGCTTTTTAGAAACTGATTTTATAAACACCCCAAAAGAGTTAATTTACAGGATCAGCGAAATTGGATAATTTCCAAAAATCCGATTCGGATAATTATACATAAAAAGTTATGGCAATTTTAAGGAGTTTTAAAAATTTCAATAAGATTCTTAAAAAATTCAAATACAGAGTAGAAAATAAATTTTATTTTAAGAACTATCTGAAATTAAACAGTCTTAATTTAAACTCGACTTGCGTAAAAATAAGGATATGCAATCTGAAATTAGTTTTACTATTTTATATTAAAAACTGCTAATTTTCAACAATGATTGACATAAAGATAACCGAATAATAAAATCATCAATTCAGTTATTATTTTCAAGAATGCTTTACTAAAATTCTTCTTTAAATCAATTATTTTTAATAATTTTCGAAAATATGTTCTTTGAAAATTTTCAAATCCATTTTTTCACAGTATTCAATTTTACGAAATTTTAATTATTCGAAAATTTTTCAATTCCTCTATTCTTCAAATAAAGACTTAAAATATAAAAAAATCCAATTAAACTTTTTCAAAAAAATTAATTTCAAAATTCAATTATTTCTAAAAATCCACGGTACACTGCTTTTAATATTCAATTATTATCTAAAATTTTAACTGAAATTCATTTTTAAATAAATTTTTATTAGAAAATTCTACTAGAATTCAATTATTTAATAAAAATGGAATGTCTCTTAAAATTAAAATCCCATAAAGAATGTTATCAACATATTTTTAAATAATTGAATTCTTTCGACGATTTTAATAAAAAATTTTAAGAATAATTGAATTCATTTGAAGAATTCGAATAAAATTGTATTGAAAATAATTGAAATTCTGCGATGAGTTTTAATATTTGTGAAAATAATTGAATCCCTAAGAAGAATTTTATTATTTTCGAACAATATTTAATTTTGGCAAAGAATATTATTACTCTGGAAAATAATTGAATTTCAGCAATAATTTCTAACTTTTCCAAAATTTAATTTTTTTTCGTGTTTTTAACTAAAATTCTTCCATAAATGCATTATTTTTAATAATTTATGAAAAAGGTCTTTGGGAATTTTCAAGTTCATTTGTTTAGAATTCAATTTTACAAAATTTCAATTATTCGTAAATTCTTCAATTTTAAATATATATTAGAAGATAAAAACTCGAAATAATTGCAAAAGAAATTCAATGAAACTTTTTCAAAAAAATTAATTCAACAGACTTGTTAGTTAAAAATATGAAAAATTCAGATTTGCAAAGATATTAATTTTAAACATTTTCAAACTTCGATTATTTCTAAAAATTCACGCTATAATGCATATTATTTAAATACAAAAAAAACAATTTATTGAATAATTTCATGTTTCTTAAATTTGAATTCTCATAAAGAATTTTATTAATAAATTTTTAAAAAATTGAATTCTTTTGACGAATTTTAATCAAATTTTTAAGAATAATTACATTTTTCGAGGAATTCAATTAAAATTGTATTAAAAATAATTGAAATTTTGCCAACAATTTTATTAAAACTTTTTGAAAATAATTGAATGTTTGAGAAGAATTTAATTATTTCTAAAGATAATTGAATATTTTGACAGGAATTTAAAAAAATTTTCAAACATAATTGAATTTTTGCGAAGAATTTTTTTTTATATTTCATAGGTGAAAATGAGACTTTATTTTTACTGTGAATTTGAACCAGTTTTAAAGTATCAAGAATAAGTTTAAACACCTTTTAAATTATCAAAAAAACGAGTCAAAATACCTTTTTTTGAAAGTTACTTTCGAGTTATGAATTTTTGACCAACGGCAAAGAATTTTGGTCGAAAATTTTTCATGTCATGAATTTTCCTTTTTTACTTTTTTCAAATTTTTGATTTTTTTTTTATTATTTTATTTTATTCAAAATATTTTTGTATAAAAGAAAAGTATTTTTTTGTATGATAATTTTAGAGATTTGATAGCTATTTTAATTTTCAATAAGTATTTTTAATACTTTTAATTTTATTTTTTATTTTTAATACTTTTAATTATTTTTAATTTTTTATAAAATATTTTAAATATTTTTAATAAAATTTAATAAAATTAAATTAAAAAAGAGTATTTTTAATAAAATTGAAAAAAATTAAATTAAAAAAGGGTATTTTTAATAAAATTCCTTGAAATTTTCCTAATTTCTCTAAAATACAATTGAAAAGGTCGGTTCAAAATTCAAAATTATATAGAATTCAGATAATTTAGAAATTCTGATTAAACTGACAAAACCCGATTAAATGGAAATTCAATCAATTGAAAGTTGAAACACTAGAAAATTTCAATAAAATTGCAATTCTAAATTCTATTAAACTGATCCTTCAATCATGGGGATGAGAATTGTATATATATATATATATATCTAAAAAGAAACTTGATCAAACGAAAAAGTTATTTATCTTTCCTTTTTTTTGAAATTCTATTCTTCGTCAAAATAGAAAAAGTTCATGTTTGCCATCAGAACTTTCTAAAATTGAAAGAGACAAAATCAATACTATCCTAATCCTCTTCAAAGAGAGAGAGATAGATAGATAGAGAAAATAAGAAGAAGGAATATAAACGAAAGAGACAAAAAAATACAATGTAAAAATAAAAAAAAAATTGATTTAATTCGTGCGAATAGGGATAGTTCTGAGGATAATAAGTCAAATCGATTTCGAAGTTTATTCGGACGTACCATCGCAGTGAATCCTGATTTATCTGTCAGCTGTTGATCAGACCTCGTTTCGATCATCACGAATCCTCATTTCAACGATCCTCCGAAGGTCGAGTCATGATTGTAAAAGATCATATCTCCTATTCCCACGTTATTAAGCCTATATATACACACCATTGAGGCGACAATCTTTTATTATAATATTTGTATATGGCAAATATTTTTCAGTTTCGAAAATCTAATCCCTTTGAATAGTGAGACCGTAATATATATAAAACAAGAATATATAAACAACTCGGCGCTAATATAATTGAAAATGCCTTCTGTAACATTAGAAATGAAACCTTTAAAAGCTTCGCGTCGCGTCGTCGCGAAAAATATTAAATTCAAAATAGCGAAGCATTTATAAGGTCAATGTATAAATATATATAAACGAGGAAAATAAAAATTTCTTTTTTTATTTTATTTTTCCCTTTTAAATTATGTATTGGCGTTAATTGATTATTTATGGGGTCGAGAAGGGCACTAACGTGCAAATATTAATTCTATTAGATATAGAGAAATTTAAATTTGTCATGATTTATATTGTAGGGGATTAGAAGGAGAAAAAAATTTATACAATCTTATCTTCACGACTTTGTTAGATAGACACGCGTGAATCATGGATTAATTAGGCGGAATAATTTGGCGATCAAATCGGTAGTGATGTGTAAATATTATTACATTCGATTATTATTAAGCGTTATGTACTATTGTGTAAGCACACTCACACACACACTTCGTGGTTCATTCACCTCATATAATAAGGAAAATCAATTCTCACCAGATAATAATCAATTGCGGATATCTTTGAATTTTTTTTTATTTTCAAATTCCTTTCCTACTTCTATTTTCACAAAGATCGATTACTAAATTCTAAATTTCCAAATTAGAAAACTGAAAATTTTTTTCACAATACTCTTCGAGGGATTTTTTCTCTTCTTTTGTTTGTTATGCTAAATATCAAAAAAGTATTAAAATTTTATAGTAATTTTATGTAAAGATTAAATTGATTATATTTAATTGTATTTTATCTATATTATGAAATAAAAAATTTCTTTAGGTACTAAGTATTTGTTTTATGATTATTTTATAATATTTCCATTTCACAATTCGAATATTAAAACAAATAATAAAATTTCAAATCATTAGTTGACATTATTAAAGTATGCTTTTAAATGAAAAGTTTTAGTTGGAAAAATTAAACGTAACGTGGAACGAATTCGTGTGAAGTCGTATTTCATATATGAAATATAATTATATTTGCTTCGTGTTCATATTCATAAAATATGATTACAGTTTATATGACGCGTTTATGGACTAGAGGTTTCAATCTAATAGTTACACATAAAAGAGAAGTTGCGAAAATATATGGCAATTTTTTTTCCTCTTCCAAATCATCTCTATATCAATTTGTTTGCAATTTCATAAAAAGTTTTTCTATTATATGCGAAAATTGTGAACAGTTCATAATAGTTTTCGAAAACGATTTATTACAAATTTACAATTTAGGATAAATTTTCAAAGAATTCATAAATTTTTAATAAAAGTTTTAGTAAATTACTCATAATTCAAAAATTTTCAATTATACTTCTTTTATAAAAATACAATTCTCTTTTGAAGAATAAAACTGAAATAATTTTAAAAAACTAATTTTTCAGAAGTTTAAACAAAATTTTTCCAAATCATCAATTTTACAAAAAAAAAAAATTATTTAATTTTTTTTAGATTAAAATTTAATATTGTTTAAACCTCTAACGAAATTTTATTATAGAATTTTAATAATTTTTAATTAAATTTCATAAAATTTCAATTAACCTGATAACTCTTCAGTAAAATTTATAAAAAATTCAAGTATCTTTATTCAAATATGTATCTTT